GTAATCCTGGCAGATGTGCTTAAAGGATAATGTCGACAAATGTACCTAAAATAGAATGTCATAATGACGGCAGATGCGCCTAATAGTGTATGTTGTAATCCGGACAGAGGCGCTTAAAGGATAACCTTGCCAGATGCGCCTTATGTAGCAATGGATTTTGTGCTAATTCCTTAGCTCAATCCTTAGGAATGAATTATTGAAGGATAGTTGATTCTTAGGGTAAAACATTAAGAATTAACGAAGATAATGAGGATGGGTAATTGGGTTGATTGTTTGATGATTAAATATAATAATTATATTATTGTGGGTTGAAAACCCTATATGCTCACCAGGTTCCCAAGCCTGACCCTCTCAGTTTTCTTTGTATCACAGGTTTCAATACGAAGGCTTATTTCACTAAGAGATTAAAGGAGATGTAAATCATTAGTGTAATTATATGTAAGTTCTTTCTATGCTTATGTGTCTGTATCGGAACATGACATCCCGAGATTTTGTTATATAATGAAAATACATTTCTTTAAGAAATGCTTTTGATAAATTCTTATCATTTTTTGTTTTGGGAACAAATTCTGCAACCATGTGTGGTTAACCGGCACACTAAACTGGATTTAAAAAGGTTGGAAAAGGGTGGCTTAAGGTTTATCATAGATCGGTGGAGTGCGTGGGGTTAACCGGAACATCGGTTAGGTGATAAACATTAATAGTACCAAGTAATTTGCATGGTTATTCACACCTTGTTATGTGATCCTCGATATCCCAGTCACAAAACTTGAAGGGCACATTCGAGATTTATACATGCCATTGAGAAGTTCAATGAATCTCAAAAGAATCTAGGAGTTTCAAAAACTAATTAAAAACCTAATAAATACATTTCATTTTTTTCATGGTGGAAATTGATGAATCGTCATTCACCTATGTTCAAATATTTTATAGCTCGGATTACAGCGTCCCTCTTCTAAGTTATAAAACATTGTGTTGGGTCCTAGACTTAATATTACATTTGGATGTCTTATTAACGACTATCTTTATATCTAATCTCAACTTTTCTTTCTTCTTTTCAGATGTCCTCCAACATTGTTGCTTCTGGCGCTAACCTTACCGACTCCTTCTCTCTCATGAACCTTTGTGTGAGAGTCATCTTCGATGGTTCCAACTTTATGGATTGGATCCGAAACATCAGGATGGTCACTCGTTACAAGGACAAGGAATATGTACTCGACAAGGAGCTTAAGGAACTTGATGAGTCATCTACTACTCCAAAGGAGATCGCTGAATTCCAAGCTTATGAGATAGATGCCACTAAAGTGGCATGTATCTTGTTGGCCACGATGACAGCCGAGCTCCAAAAGTCCTATGAGGACTATTACCCTATTGAGATGCACCAAGACTTGATGGATGGCTACCATCAAAGTGCTCGTCAAGATAGGTATGACATCATCTCCTCCATGATAACAACCCGGATAAATGATGGTGAACCCATCACAAGCCATTTACAGAGAATGCAAAGGTATGTGGGCCGTTTGCTAAATATGAATGTGGACTGCCCCGAGGAGTTGGCTATTGACATCATTTTGCACTCCTTACCTTCGTGTTATGATCAATTCCGAATGACATATCACATGAACAAGGAGGAAGTTACACTCAGCAAACTTCAAGGACTTTTGAAGACCACCGAAAGTGGTCTTAAAGGTAAATCGGTTGTTACCACTCCTACTCCTACCGTCGACCCTGTTCTAGCCATTGGGCAAAGTAAAGGGAAGAAGAGGAAAACCCCTTCAAAGGGTACCAATGGAAAGTCCCTTGATGGATCCTCTTCAAGTAGAACGAAAGGTGGTTCTTTCACTCCTCCTACCAACCCTAAAGAGACTGAATGCTTCTATTTCCATGAAAAGGCACACTGGAAGAGAAACTACCCAAAGTACCTGCAAGATGTTAAGGATGGGAAAGTAAAACCCAACCATGCAGGTATTTACACTATATTGTCTAATAACTCACCCCATTCTAATTCTTGGGTCCTTGATACAGGTTGTGGTATTCACATATATTCTGACTTGTAGGGACTAAGAAGAAGTGAGAATATGGAGCATGGGAAGATAAACTTGATCATGGGGAATAGGAAAGTTTCACCAGTCACCAAGATTGGAGTTTAGTCTTTGTTGCTAAGTAGTGGGTTAACATTAGATTTGAATAAATGTTATTACTCGTCTGAAATGGCGAGAAATATTATTTCCTTTCATGGTTTGTACAAACAAGGCTTTACCTTTTCATTTGATAATGAATGTGGTGGTATTAATACTTTCTTTAATAATGTTCTTTATTTTAAAGCATTACCTTGTGATGGTGTATATGAAACTGTGTTGGTTGTTGATAACATAGGAAATAATGTGTTGTGTATCGAGTCATCCACTAAATTGGATAAAGCATCATTATGGCATTGTCGTCTTGGACATGTGAGCAAGAAACGCATAGGCCAACTCCAAAAGTATGGAGTCTTGGAGTCATTTGACCTAAATTCGGATGATAGTTGTGAATCTTGTTTGCTTGGGAAAATAACAAAGTCACCCTTCATTGGTACCACTACAAGAAAAAGACCCTTTTACGATGCGCAAACAACGACACTCGGAGATATATGTTACGCAAAAGAGAGTAACGTTAAAAAAGTGTCATCTCTTCAAAAAATTTAAGGATTTAGGTCGTGCATTATTGCGTGCCCTTAAATTAGTGTCTAATGTAAAAAAATAAAAAAACACAGAGGGCACTTTAGCTAAAAGGTGCGTCGTCTATGAATGTCGTTTTATATTTTTTTAAGAAACGCGCTTCTCACTTCTCCTTAGAGGGAAAATGAAATCCCCAAATTTTTTAAACCCCCGCCTTCTTCTCCCTCGTCTCCACCCTAACCCACATCCACTACCTCTAATCCTCGTTGCCTCTTCTAGTCTCAAACCTGATCCTCACGTTAAATGGTTCAGTGACTGCAACTCCTTTCGATTGTAGTGCTGATCAACAACTACGACTCATCAACCGTCAATCGAAGCTACCTGTTGAACAACCCCTAATCGAAACCTCAACCTTCTCGTCTCTCCTTCTCCACCAGGTTTTCTCTTATCTCTATCCTCCACCAGATTTTCACTCTGAAAAAGGCGATCGATCTCCCTACTTCGATTAGAAAACCCAAAAAAGTAGAAAACCCCACCTTGGAGATTTAGGGTTCATTCCCACCCAAAATTCTTTCGCGCACCCAAAATTCTCAAACATCAAGATCTTTTTCATCATCTCCCCTTTCATTCATTTTCCCGCTAACTTTCTCCTACGAAAACACACCAAAGTAGAGGTTTCGGTGGCAAATAAGGATGAAACGGCGCATGAGAGAACTAAAAGGACTCTTATTGGTTGGAACGACTAGTTGGAAAACACACAAGACTCTATAACCACTCCAGGGTTTAGAAACAGAGAGAAAGTTCTTGTAACTTGCTCACATCTTACAGGTTACATGTTTTTTGATTTGTTCCCTTTATGCCACTAATTGTATCTAACCCTTTTTATTGTCCAGGGGCAAAACAAAGATTTTTTTTTATTTGTTCCCTTCGCATCAATTACAGGAATTTGATTATCCCCTCTCTTTGAACTGACGAACTCAACCTGGACCACCACTGCTCAGCCACCCCTGCATCCACCGCTACAAGATGAAGACTTGGACCTAAACCTGAACCCGTTAGCATAAATCCTTCGTTTTGGAGATGGGCTAATTCATGTCTTCTATCTGCGTATTTTTTACTTGGTGATGATAAATTCGTACCCATAAATCTTCCTTCATGCTCACCATCTACAATGAAATCCTAGGTCAATGATCTGTATTGATATGAAATGGGTTGTTTACAGGTATTCCTTTTCCCCAACATGAAAAATCCAAATAAAAAGATTCTAGACTTGGAGCTATGGACTAAATGTATGTAGGTTTGACTGATTTGTTTCCAAATTGTATGTATATATGCTTCAATAGAAACTGATTGGTCGTTGATTTTGAATAATTATATTTTCTTGATGCAATAGATACTTGTCTGTTTGAATCGTTTTTATGCTGGTCAATCTTATGGTGCTCTGCTGGAATTTTCTTCTTGATAAAACATACTAGTTGAATTCTTTTTGCTGCCTTTAATTTTTTGTGTTGAAATGTTTACTAATGAACTGTTGAAACAAACATACTTCCTGAAATATATTTGCTAAAATCTCATGCTGAAATCTGAAGTTGAGATATGATTTGAATCTTTTTTTAAATCTATTTTCTTGAAATCTTTGTTCTATGTTAAATGTAAGTACTCCACCGGCGGTAAGCTCTCTCTTTATGCTAATTGGTTTGTTTTGAATTATAAGTTATCGAATTATATGTTCACAATAAAGAGAATCAGGGGCATTTGGGAAATCATCAAGTAAAGAGAATCAGGGGCATTTGGGAAATCATCAAGCTCTCTCATGCCTAAAATGCCCCTGTCCCATGCAATATAATTTTCAACTTTTTTTTTGAAACATTTTTCTCAGTCTTGTTGCTTACTTGTTTTGTAATCATTTGAAGTATAATAAAAGTTTAGTTATAGTTAAATAATTGTTATAGTTAATGAATTTTTGATTCCATTCAAGAATTCCCCTTCTGATCATGCGGGTTTGAGAAACAAGATGGGGAAAAATACTTCAAATAGCTGCAAAAGAAACCATGGACCCTGAACTCATTGACTTTGTTGACTGGCAGAAGGTATAAGAAACTCACGTTCAATGACATCATTCTTTTTTCTTCTTATACCACACTACCTTTTGTGTTCAGGTGGCTGAGAAAACGGCTTTCTTACGTCTTGTTGAAGTCAAACTTGTTCCCATATCCTTGGAAGGCGTTGCCTTTAGGACTAAAGTCCTTGACACAAACCCCAAATTGGTACCTTATTCATATGATGTTACTTTTTGCAGAACAATTCCCTAAACCCGATTTAGAAAAAATTGAAGATGAGGCAATGCCTGATTCAGTTGATGCTATTAGTGTTATCCAAGAACTTCATGTATGTCATTTAGGATCTGGAATTAATTTAGCTGCACCAGATGTTAATGATGTCCCTGAAGCAGAGATTCTTGTATGCAATGCATCAGCTTCACCTAGCAACTGCAACTTAAATTCATCAGAACCTGTATGTGTTAATGATTCATCTTTAAAATCCAAAAGTCCATAAATGTTGAAGCTTGCTAACATAAATTGATCTGGCTGTAGGATGAAGCAGCTAATGTGGATCCACATGAACATGGAAGTCTGTATCAGAGTTATTTTGACAGTTAGTATTTAGGAAGACATTTTTCTAGCTGTTATAAAAGGATGCTGCTTAGATTCATGTATCATTATAATTTATCAGAATAAAAAAACTACTTGACTGTTTATGTATTTTTACTTATTTAGGTACCTCCATTTTTGGTGCGCAAAGTACTCACACAGATACTTTCGTTCATCAACGTTTAGCTATTCAACAGGTAAATTGCATAAAATATGTTTATATTGTATATCAACTCTTTTTTTAATAAAAATGTTGATGATTTTTTTTTGTGGAAGTTTTTTGATGAGACGTGAGTGTTGCTTGTTTAGTGATGGTGAATATTTAAAGTGAGGATTGGTTGAATTATAATAATGTTGTTATTATGAAACTGAGGAAGTAAGAACTTTTTATATATTTTAAAAAAATTGATTTTGTAGTAAATAATATTTGATTTATTTACAGTATGCGGGGACCGCATGGGATGAGTTGAAGCATATGAGACAACCAATTGGATTCTTGGTTGTACATCAAAAGCCCAAGAAGACTTTGAATGAAATTACCAATGAACTTCGTCCTGTAAGAAAATTTATTTTAATAGTCATAAATATTTTAATTTTGTTTTTCTCTTTTATTATATTCAAGATTGTGCATTTTCGTCATTTATGCAAATGCTTAACATGCAATAGCTATACAGAATCAGCACCATGTATTGGGATGACAAATACGGGACCCACAGTGTTTCATTAGAAGTAAGTTACTACTCACATAACAAATATGAATTCCATCTCATAAAAAACTTAAATCCTAAAGGCGATTTCATAATTAGGTCATTTCAAATATGAGAGTCATGATGAAAGTGGACTCAAACAATGCAGTCAGCAGCTCATTCTTTTTAGATGACGACTCCAGGTAAATATCTCAAGACTTGAAAAAAAAATCTTTGTAGGGGCAAAATCGTCTAAAATGGGGATATGTATTTGAGTATGATGCAGCATACCGTTCTTTGTGGATGACATCTCAAAGTCTATGCAACAAGTAGACATAGGAGAGATTGAACTCCACCTTTAAGCTGTTCTTTAATAGCAATGTAGTATTAGGTTATATAGATACAATCATAACCGATAAAAAAACTGAGTTAGTTAGTTTCTACTTTCTAGTAGTGACAATAGGTTTCCATGATGGCATGAAAATGGTATTAAGTATTTGCATTCTTATTATATTATACCCCTCACATTTTCCCAAATTGCCCCTTCCTCTACTATGTTTTTTTTTGTTTTTGTGTATTTTGTGCATCAGGTAAAGTTGATGGAAGAAAGGAATATGAAGCCACTTGATTTAAATCTTGCAGCATTATCAGCAAAATGCAGTAAAGACTTGGAGTTGAATTTGGCTAAGTCATTATAGAGTGAGATGGGCCAATGTACAACTGCTTATCCATATAATCATCTGTTTGGAGCACTAGTCTTAAAGAATTATGAAAGGCAAGATGCAACTTTACTTAGTTGGAATTTGATGTACATAGTAGATTAGATGCAAATTTATATATTGTAAGAAATAGAATTGTATGACATTAAATTTATGCAATGGATTCTATTTTTTGTAGATGACATTTTATTTTCTATTATGAAACATTAAATACAAATTTAATTTGAAAATAAGTAAATTTATAAATAATATCTTTTTTTTAAACATTTAAAATTATGATACACAAAAATGTGTGTCATCTTCATTTATGACATGGCCTTTCTTGATAGGGGCTTTCTTGATACGCATTGCATGTCATTAACACGCGCGTCGTAAGGTTACGACACGCGAATGCGTGTCTTCTTCCTTTATGACAGGGCCTTCCTTTATACGCATTGAGTGTCGTAAACGCGCGTCGTAATTGCGCATCGTAAATGAGCGTCGTAAATGCGCGTCGTCTATAGACGACGAGCAAAAGTGCGTCGTCTCTCTTTATGACAGGGCCTTCCTTGACGCGCATTTGCGCGTTGTCTGAGCCTTTTACGACGCGCAATGAGCATCGTAAAAGGCTGTTTTTCTAGTAGTGTACTTGTGCTAGGGGTGAGGGTTTGTTGGATCTCATACATACTGATGTGTGTGGACCCTTCAAAACCGCCACAAGGGATGCTAACCGCTTCTATGTGACTTTTACTAAGGATTATAGTAGATATGGATGTCTACTTAATCAAGCATAACTCAAAAACCTTTGAAAAGTTCAAGGAGTTTAAATAAGAAGTGGAGAATCACTTGGGCAGGAACATTAAGATGCTTCGATCAGATCGAGGTGGTGAGTATCTTAGTACAGAGTTCCTTGAATATATTAAGGAATGTGGGATTGTCTCACAACTGACACCTCCCAGAACACCACAGCCTAATGGTGTGGCTGAGAGGCGTAATCGAACCTTGTTGTACATGGTTTGTTCCATGATGAGTCAAGCTTTGCTACCAATCTCATTTTGGGGGTATGCCTTAGAGACTGTTCCCTATATCCTTAATCTAGTCCCTACAAGGAAGGTTGTCAAAACACCTCACGAGACGTGGACTGGAAAAGTTCCCAATCTTAACCACATCAAGATTTGGGGTTGTGAGGCATTCATGAGGCGCGAGACTCATGATAAGCTCAAACCTCGAAATGAGAGGTGTATTTTCATCGTCTACACGTAGAAATCCTTTGGTTACCTCTTCTACAGACCCAGTGATAACGTGGTCTTTGTAGCAAGGAGAGGAGTCTTGAGAGAGAGAGAGAGAGAGAGAGAGAGAGAGAGAGTTCATAAGCCAAGGAAACAGTGGGAGGCAAATTGAAAAATGAATAAATTCAAGAGTCAAGTGGTGAAGGAACCTCAAACCCTAGCAATCAACCGGAGGAGGAAACTCCTATTGATCCGACTGACGAGTCTGTACCTACGAGTCTGTACCTATGAGGCGTTCCACGAGAGTTAGGAATGCACCTGAGCATTACTATGGTTTCCATATTACTGTGGAAGGTGATACACTTATCATTGATAACACACTAGTAAGTTTGGATGAACCTAACAGCTACATGGAAGCCATGGCAGACCCTGAGGCTGCCAAATGGAAAGAGGTTATGGACAGCAAGATACAGTCCATGTATGACAATCAAGTTTGGAACTTGGTTGAGAATGTACCAGGTCGTAAAACAGTCGATGCAAAGGGCTTTTCTCAAACTCCGAGAGTTGATTATGATGAGACCTTTTCACCAGTAGCAAAGATTAAGTCTATTAGGGTTATGTTAGCCATTACTGCATTTCATGATTGTGAAATATGGCAAATAGATGTCAAAACCGCTTTCCTTAATGGAAGGTTGGCTGAGGATGTTTACATGAGTCATCCATAGGGTTTTGGCCATACTGAGTACCTTAATAAAGTGTGTAAGTTTGAGAAATCCATCTATGGATTGAAACAAGCACCTCGCAGATGGATTCTTTTTTTCGATGAGAAAGTGAAACAGTTTGGCTTTTCGAGGAGTGAAGATGAATCTTGTGTATATGTAAAGGCTAGTGGGAGTATAGTTAGCTTTTTGGTATTGTATGTGGATGACATACTACTCATAGGAAATGACATCCCAACTCTGCAGGAAGTGAAGTCCTAGCTTGGGAAGTGTTTTCATATGAAGGACCTTGGAGAAGCTACCTATATCCTAGGGATAAGGACTTTGAGAGACAAGGGTAAGAGACTAATTAGACTTAGTCAGGGTACCTACTTTGATAAGGTGTTGAAGAGGTTCAGCATGTAGGATTCCAAGAAGGGAGAGTTACCAATCCAGAGTATCGCCAAACTGAGTAAGACTCAGTTCCCGAGTATAGAGGTTGAGATAGCTGAGATGAGTCGAGTATTGTATGCTTCCGCTGTAGGCTCAATCATGTATGCTCTGACTTGTAGTCATCCTGATGTGGCCTTTTCCTTGAGCATGGTCAGCAGATATCATGGGAACCTTGACAAGGCTCATTGGATTGTGGTAAAGAACATTCTCAAGTACCTGTGGAGGACTAAGGATTGGGTCCTTACCCTCGGTGGGAGTGATGACTTGAGAGTAGTAGGGTATAGTGATGCTAGTTTCTACACTGATAGCGATAATTTCCGCTCTCAGTCAGGTTGGGTCTTTACCTTAAACTGAGGAGCAATTATTTGGAAAAGTTCCAAGTAGGAGAAGGTGTCTGATTCAACTTAAGAATCAGAGTATATAGCAGCAAGCGAGGCAGCAAAGGAGGCTATATGGCTAAAGAACTTCATTGGAGACCTTGGAGTTGTACCAGCTAGAAAGGAGCCTATGCAGACTTTTTGTGATAGTGAAAGTGCAGTTACCTTAGCCAAGGAACCAAGGGATCACGGAAGATCCAGACACATCGACAGAAAATACCATTTCATCATACATCGAATAGAAGAAGGACTCCTCGTGGAAAAGAGGGTATCATCAGATGAGAACCCAGCAGATCCCCTCACGAAGGGACTGAGTAGGGTTAAGCATATTTAGCATGTGAGGCGCATAGGGATAAAGGATGATATTAGTTTTAGAAATTAGATAGTTTTTGAAATTTATAAAGTGTAATTGACATTTGATGATAAATAAAAGTTATTGTTTATTTATGAATAAAGTGTTGCTATATTTTGTCAATCGTTTACTATCATTTCATTTTTCATGTTTTGACTTCCAAGAATAACTATGTTATGGTATATCATATTATTCAAATTCTCCACATTCAGTCATATGTTGGAAGTAGGTATGAATCAAGACTCTCATGAAGTTGGCTTGTAGATGTCTAAGGTGTTGGACATAGCAAGAGTTGCTACAACATTCATGAGTGCTCATAAGTTCTGAGTATTAGATTCAACCCACGCTCACTTGTATCACTTCATGGAATTTATCTTGAGTGATTGTGTGATGGTAATATCATATAAGTCTTCAGACTTAGAGATATGAATTGTTATACATTGATTGCACAACAACGGATTGGTAACTCGATGTTATAAAATGTGCCGTTGTGTATGATTCTGTCACAACTGAAAATTTTGTGTCATGTAATCTATACACTCAAGTTAATGTGAATCAAAAACTTAAGAACATGTGTAACACCTATGATTATGACTTCAAAACTTCAATCAAATACATCATACAAGTACTACAAATAGTCATCAAACAATTGGAGACCCTAGAAGTCCTTGTTTAATTCCATTTTGGACTAGGACTCCCTTATTGGATCCAAATGGACCAATAAGCTTCCAATTAGACTATCATGGGCTTAGAACCCTAATTGGGCTCTAATTGGACCCACACTAATTTATTTCAACATTTTGGGCCATGTTGGGCCTAGAATGAAATGAATTAAAAGCCTTGATACATGAATAACCTAAACTAGTCCAATAAAAATATAAAAAAAATCCTACCACATTCCTTTAGACTTAAAACATACCCAAGATTAACTCTAATATTCAGCTTAGGGGCAAAGGCCCAAATTTTTCCTTTTCCCTTCCAAATTCTCGGCCCAATGCATGCCACCTCATTATTAACCAAAGGGTATCTATGCATGGAACTCATACTTCCAAGCACATATCACTTCAAAGATCACTCCTCTTCTCTCCTCTCTCTCACTCTCGGCCACATTCAAACACACACACAAAAAAATTTACTCATTCTTCTCTCAAAGAAACTCTCTCCTTTCCTCTCCATAATTTCGAGATTCTAAGAAGCTTTCAAGA